TATTTAAAAACATCGTTTCAAACATATGTAAACACAAGAATATTAGAAGTTATTAATATTTCTCTTCCCTTATCACGGTGTTTCTTTTGAGATGATGAACATTTATTTTATTGCATTGTAAAGTAGCTTTATATCTTAGCACTGAATTTTCTGTAAGATTTTCGAAGTTACACGTACTATAATATTTATGGCCAGACTTTAAAGTTTTCAGTTTGACTTAGTTCATAAAATTAAGAAATTTTAAATTTATTTATTTAAAGAAAGATTTTCCTTTTTTAAAACATCAAGGAGATGGTTATGCCTGTTTATATGCCTTTCGTTCGTGCTGAGAGTAAGCTAATAGACCCAGGGCTACGAAATTTGGTACATAGGGTGCAACTAGAAATTTAGTACATAGGGTGCAACTAGACAACTAGCACTTCGATGCGAGTTTTTCAAAATTCGAATTAGATTTTTTTTTTTATTTTATGTTTGTTGATAAAATCGCATCGAATCAATGGCAGGCAGCCACTGTTGCTGATATATCACTGTTGCTATTGTTGTTGATATCAGCACTATTGCCACTCGGAAAAATGAAGGCGATAATTCTGCGCGGTTTTTAAATTTAATGTTTCTCTTGGATCCTGGACTTTCGTCGAGAGTTACTTGGATGCAATGTTTGTTGAGAGAACGTTTGTTTTTCGGTTCATTGAAAAGCCAGACGAATCCTGGCCGTATAGCGGCTAGTTTTTTAATAAACAAAAAACATGCTGATCAGAATGTTTTTTATTCCCACATGACATTGGTCTTAGCAATTTCTCACAAGTTATCTATAATTATAGAAAACCTTAAGAATAAGTAGATGTGTGAAGAGAAAGGGCGGTCTTCCCGAACGTAAGCAAGATAATCGAAGCTAAAGTTTCTATATAATACTCATATTAAATATGTTCTTTTACTAGCAAGGACCAATAATATAGACGGTACCTAATGGAATTATAAATGGAAAATCGTTAATTCAGATTCAGTGTCACCTAACACTTATTTTTGCGGTATTGCTAATTCTTTTAATGGTTATATGTTCTGAAATAAAATTTATTCATGAAAAACCTTTTCCAAGGAAGGAACATGTGCTGCAAACCATTTTACAAAAAAGTAATTTTTCATTTATTTTTTCTAAGTAATTATACTTTTCAACAAACTTAATAATAATTTCTCACAGAAACCCTGGAATACCGAATATCTACATCGGGGGCATTGAGTAAACTATAGTTTATCACAATTTAAATTTTTATTCATAATTTGTATTTGACAAACTGAAATTATAATGAAAGAAAATACTAGTAGACTTAATGTTCAAGACAATATATAGGAAGATTTTTTTTATGAAGCTTAATGGGAAATGTGATTTTGCCTTAAAAGCTTTTAGAAGAGTTGCTCGAACGAAGATTTAAAGTGTGATAACTATCTTTGTACAGTATGCCTCAAGTCAGTATTTTATATTTGGGGCACTTTTGTGATAAATATCATCTAGCAAGCATATATAAAGTTTTGGAAAAATGCAATAATTAGTATAAACTAAATGAATAATTGCATTTTATACAAAATAGTATTGTATATTCTTTTTTCGTTGGTCACGTATGGATATTTTTCCTGAATAAATTTTCTTTCAAAATAAAATAACTCTAAAAAATATAAACAGCGATAAAAGCATAAGTAGCGAATGAAAATTTATATTGTGTTAAGCCATCATTAATTCAGTGTACCTATGCCAGAATTATATGCATTTGAATTCTTTTTAATAAATACATTGTAAATAAAGTTTTTGAAAGTGCAGTAAGTTACAAGACGATTAAAAAAGTACATTAAATTTTAAATGTTTGTAGTATAGTCTTTTTTATGTTATCCTCTTACAATATTTTTTATCCTCAAAATAAAATAACGTTAACATGATTTATAGCAGTGACCTTTTAGTGAAGTTAGTGCTGACTGCAGCTTAATTTGACATTAGAAGTTTTGTTAGAACTCCAAGCGTTACTATTCTAGCTGTGGGCCTGGTGATTGAGGAATATAAGAAATGTTAAAAGTTTTTTAAATGCATATTAATTTATGCCACTTAGAAATTTAATCTTGAATTTTTTTGCTTATTTTGGCTTTCTGTATACAGGTATATAAATTTAAAAATTCTTTATAACTAAGAAAAATTGTTGCTGAAGATTGGGTGGCATGAGATCGTCGTCATGCAGCATCGTAAATAACAGCTACGTACCCAAAAGCTGGACAAAGTAAGCTCAGATTAACTACAAGAATATCAAAATATATTAAATGTTACGCTGTTATTAAAAATTAAATTAATTGAATGACGTATCAAAATCAGTAATTTTACTATAAAGTAGTTAATAGAAATCTAATTTAGTTCAGCAAATTTAGTTCAGCAAGTGTAAATCAATTTAGTTCAGCAAAATGCCATTTGCTGAACTAAATTGAGAATATCTGACAAAAGTGAGCATAATGATAAAATTTTATTTCCATCTCAAAAACAGGCTGCAAAATGTACGCCTAATAATAGACCAGCATACCTTATTGGTCTGCTTTTAAATGGATTTTGCTTTCCAAATTAAATTTTTATCACTTAGTAAAGTCTGAAACATTTCCAGAAGCACGCAAAATAGTTTGTAATCTCTAAAGTGCATATTGATTGAAATAATAAAACTAAAATGAAGACTTAAAATATTTTATTGTAAATATTAATCTACTTTTTCTAAATTAAGTGTAATCCAAAGTAGTACCTGTTTTTTCTTTCAGGATTAACACGACCTTTTTCATGCTAATTGTTCGAAGAGATATTTAATTTATGGATACGAAAACTTATGAGGTATATTCTTCCTCCTTTCAGCGTGCCTTCGTGGTGTAACGATTGCACACTGCGAGCGCATTTGAGAAGTCCAGGGTTCGAGCCCGGGGAGGGCATTGCACATTTTCCCCGTTTCCTGCTTTAAAGAAAAACCTAATGACTAAACTAAGCATTTTCTCAGTCATTACTACAACATAACTAAATTAATAGATTTTGTTATTTTCGTAGCTAAATGTTCAAAAATGTAGCAGGAATTTCTTTACTGAATGTGTCTAATTTTACATTAAATATTTAACTTCACTCTTTAAAGACTGCATTATATCACAGCACTAACTTGTATCATTTCGATTTCCTGTGCTGATATTTTCCAACCAATTTAACAGTCAGATATATGCATTAGAATGAGTTATGTGACTCTGGATAATTGATTACTGAAATTTGCACTTTTTGTTCGCTTTCTGAATAAGCCAGGGCTTAAATTGCAGTGAAACCCATCGAAGCCCAGCTCCAGTACTTCTCAGTTTTAAAAATAAAGCAGAATTCTAACCAGAACACTAAATGAAATGGCTTCAACACTTCTTTTATGTAAATAAACCCCAATTTTTGCAGCCAATTTTTATTTCAACAATAAATATTTTTAAAAAATCGATTCTGACTTCTGAGTGCACGCTTATTATACACAAACTTTGGACAGAGGTTGAGAATTTTAAGGAAAGAAAAGCTTTTACCAACATGTCAAAGGCTTATTATCCAGGAACTGCAATGTATCTATGACAGCGGATAAATTTTTCGTTCTTGAAAGTGCTAAAAGTGATTATCCACTGTAGAGCTCTTGTAGAATTTTTGAACAATGTAACCAAATGCGGTAGACCACTATTAGCTTACATTTATTCTCACATTGTTACTGGGAAACGTTCAGAGAAATGTTTTGCTTGAAAACTGGAATTATATCGATAGAGCATTGCGATCCAAAAGTCTTGGTCTCTTCCTTTATTTTTAAAGCTACACTTTTCAGTTAAAATTTCCTTCCATATTCTCACACTGTTTTTAGCATTCTCACTATCTCCTTAGCTTTCATCGTTCTACATTTTTTTCACTACTGTACTTGAAAAAATATGGTTCTAGTACTTATCATCTCATGAAATAATACACTGTACGATATAATTAGGGCTTAAATTCAGACGAAAGTCGGCTGAGCTATTTCTTAGCTCCTGAGTGGAATTTAATTCTAACAGGAACCCCAAGTAAAATTATAAGGTATTTCTCCCGCCTTCTTAGCGATCCTTCGTAGTGTAGTGGTGTGCACGCTCAGCGCGTAATTGAGAGGTCCGTGGTTCGATTCCCGGCGAAGGCGTTGCATATTTTTCATCTTGCCTGCTTCCAAAAAATACCTAATGTCTCTACAGTGGAGCCCGAACTAAAAGGGTGGTGGATGATGATTCTCCCCACCCAGGATTTGGCGATTGGTTCCTCTAAAAACCCAGTCGCCCTTTAAAAGGGGGCGTATATAAGGTATTTCTCTCACCTTCTTGGCATGCTTTCGTGGTGTCGAGGGCTGCACGCTCAGCGCGTAATTGAGAGGTCCGCGGTTCGACTTCCAGCGAAGGAGTTGTTAATTTTTCGTCTTTCCTGCTTGCAAAAAATACCTAATGTCTGTACAAGATGACGTAAGGTAATTTAGTTTTTTATTTAATTATTTCTAATTAATTTAATAATTTATTAAATTTCTATTTCTCTTTATATTCTTTTCGTTTTAATTAATTAATTATTTTAATTTTCAGTTATTTTATTTACTTATTTTTCCTCCCTTGTTGACAGTCTTCCATAGCGCTCCGGCACTTCTAATTTTGGAAATTAAGCCCTTGATGCAGCACAAAAAGGCAATGACATTTCATTTAAGAAATGACCCAAAGTAACAAACTGAAACGTGACATCACGCCACCTAATCTTTCATTCACAAATTTTAAAATTCTTTTAAACTGAAATGAAATATTTATGTAAAGCATTGCTTACATAAAATGCGATTAATGTTTTCTTTTGATAAATAATATGCTTCATAAGGAGTTATATATAATTATTTACGTGAAAAACAAGTAGCTTATTCTATACATGCTACTGAAAGAAAGTATATTGTTTTAAGTGATATTTTGTATAATGCAAGACACAAAAGTAACACAAAAACAACAAGTTTATTTTCAATATTTATTTTATAGCCATTTTCGTTATTCATCAACGCTGTACAAACAATCGGAAGCAACTGCAATCATATTCAGCAAGATCAAAAACTTTTCTTCATACATATTCTAAACTGAAATTTTCAGTAAATCATTCGTTTTTGTATACATAATGGAATGCGTGCGTTTATAATAGGTCAAATAGTTAAACTTAAGCAAGCTGCCAGCAGCACTAAATCTACTTGAGTTATATTTAAATATTTTTATTAAACAGACATACACTTTTATATTTTTATTTTACACAACTTAATGCTTACAATTTCTACTGTTTTAGCCTTAAAAAGCAAATAATATTTTGAATAAAATCAAGATTTGAATCGCCAAAGCATTGAAGGAAATCTGAAAATTAGATATAGGATGAATTTTAGCCATTTTATAATTAGAATAAAAATTATACTTGACAGAGGTTCCCTTGAAAGACATGAACCTCAAACACATATATGAAATATACCTCTAGAATATATAATTATATTTATTATTAATATATCTTTATGTAAATATTTTAACGTACAAACAATATATATATTTATATATCAATAGAACATCGGGATTTGATTGCAGTAATTTATAAGCTTGCTTGTCGTGTTTAATTTTTGACTCTACAAAAATTTACTAGTAAGTACCTTACATGTTACACCGACAAGCAAAAGTCACTTAAATTGTACATAACATGAATTATTTTTAATTATATGGCTTCAAAATAAAACAGGTGTTGATTTTAAGTGATAACCGAAAAATTATTATCCTCTATAAAACGATTCAGTTCTTGATTAACTTTGAATGAATTATTTACACTGTACATGCAAATCTAGAAACAAAATAACAATTCTCGGTTATTCTTTTGTAGAGCAGGAAATATAAAGAACGAAAGCTCATTGTTTAAGCAAACTATTAACACTGAATACAAATTCACTGCTTAAATGTTTTGATTTTCAGAGAAAAAGCAAATTTTTTAATATCACAAGAGTTACGAATTGTAGCAATAGAGATAAGTTTGATGACAATCGTTTTATTTCTCTCTTTCATTCTCAGCCGTGTCCATACTTGAAATATCTGTAGAGTATGAAATTCGGAAGACCTGTAAAATTTGTTCTTTTGTATTACTTCACAGTTTTTAAATTTGTTCTTTTGTATTATTTCACAATTTTCGCTAAAACGTTCTGAAACGTTTTCTGAGTTTTTCAAGCATCGCGTAGGGCAATCTAGTTTCGTTACCAGATATGGACTACGACTCTTTCTCCATGTAATTACGATAATTTTGATAGATCTTAAAAGAAATGCCAGAGAATGTATTAAAATGCCATTTCGTCTCAACTGTTTCTTTCGTTTTGAACATAAATCTTCGTGCTACCTATACTTCAAAACATAATTAAATTTATTATCAATAATAATAATAAGTTAAGCGGATTTTAGATATATGTTACAAGAAATGCGTAATTTATCATGGTCTGTCGTGATATTTAACAAGCGACAGCCAACTGAAGTAAGATGCACAGCAGAAATTGATTTGCAGAAATAAACTTATTAATATTTTTAATTAGCGATTTTCAGCGTAAGTTTTATATAGAAAGTGCAAAATTGCCGGATTTAACAATGAAATATTTTAGACATGAAAATCTGATTTCTAGGAACTTTGTCAGCTTAAAATAATTTTTGCTTTTCACGAAAATAATTATAAACTGTGTGTGTTTTGATGTGTTTTGTTAGATTTTGATTAACTACTGAAACACCGAAGATCTTTCATTTCCTTGTTAAAATAATTGTAATATTAAGTCTTTTAACAAGACGAATGCCATAAAATCTTCGAAGTTGAACTTCAGTACACACTTCCTTTTAATTGAAACTGTTTGTTTCATTCGTAGCTATATATACCTCGTTTTAAAAATAGGCTAAAAAGATAGAAATGCGTTGCTATGACGGAAGAAGAATATTATGTTAGAAATGGATGCTTCCACTCTTATGAATTTCAGATAGGATTACATGTAAAGGCAGGCATAGTTTATATACATAAATTATTCTTCTGGAGGCTACACAAGTTATTCAATTTAAAACACATGCTTAATGTTAAAATATATCCTATATAATATTAAGCAGTAAAGTGTTTACCCAATAATTTACCGAAATCCCCTAATATAAAATTTAGAGCTTTTGCTTTACCGTTGCCATTCATAATTTAGAAGATTTTTGTTAAGGGCTTATTTACTTTGCTTTCCCGTTTTGATTTATAGGCAATTTTAGTAAATTAGTAATTTCATATATTTAATCTAATATTAATTCGTAGTCAATAATCTAGAAACATTTAAGGATCAAATATATTTTAATGCAGAAGTAAAAGAACTTAATTTGAAAAACCATAACAGTAAGTCTTTTGGCTAGAGCAGTATTTCCCAAACTAATATGACCACGGAACGCTTTTAATATCTCTCTCTCTCTCTATATATATATATATATTATATTATATTTGACTTTGGGAAATGTCAAAGTGAAGGATGTATTTTAAGAGGAAGTTTTGACTTGAACTAAATTAACATTGTTGAAACTTATGGAACATATATGGGGTTCAGAATAAGTACCACCAAATTTACGTTTTTAATTATAGTATAAGCAAGCGATATGATAAATATTTACAAAGAGATTATTTCTGCATATTTAGTTCTGCCTGCTTAGGCTAAATGGTTTCAATTTCACAAAATACACATTATAGAAACACAGAAAGTAAAAGCCGTTGGTACTCATTGCATTATAATCGGCTATGCAATATTAACATTGAATTATTTAATTCAAGCAAGCGCAGAAAGATTTTTGAAAGCACATATGCTACTGAAGCTTTATATAAAAGCCAAGTGTTTTAGTACGCTTAGTCATTACTTATGATGAGAAAGAATTTTTAATTAGAAATGTAAGTGTAAACAATTTTGGACTTCAGAACTACATTTTCAGTGACATACAACAGCAAGTGTTTCGTGGAGGATGGTTTGGGAAACTCTGAACTACAGAATATAAGTTGAAAAAGTACATATGAATGTATATTTATAAACACCATAATATATTTTAATATTCAAATGTTATCGAATTAGACGATGAGAGTTTTTTTACTCTGCTTTTACATTGAGCAAATATTTCAGGATGATTTCTATCAATGAAATCATGTTCCATGCAAATAACTGGCATGGAAGTTGCAATATCGACAGCAAAACATTTGCTTTCCCATTTCTAAAGAATAATCTAGATGATAGAGCTAAAGCCAGCTAAATGAGTACTTCAGTGAAAGGATGAACAAAGCTCTAACATATATCACGAGTGAAAAGTCACTCACTATGTACGCATTTATTGTCTACTAGCTTATCAACACTGTCTACATATTTACAAAAACCTTCCTCAGAGGCAGTAATCTACCATTCTGTAAGCTTAACGTATGTACATTCATTCTTATCTAAAGACAAGAGCACAGTTATAGGAATCAAAAAATGTCTGCTTGTTCATTAAATACAAATACAAAATGACTACTTAAGTAGAGTTTCTAAAATTGAGCGTCGAATTGATAAAGGTGTTATAAAATATTAAAACAATTTTAACTGTTTGAAAGTCATTTTAATACATATCTTTGCAAATAGGAACCATAATCTATGGAATACGTAATACTTGCATAAAAGTACTGATTACTTTCCTCTTTTCTGACAGCAAAAATGTGTGGCCTGAATTTTGTTAACAACAATCAATAACAAAAAATATCTTTATTGAGGTTACATAAGGAATCAAGAATGGGTATCATGAATTGATAATATATATTTAGAGCTTTTGTTATATAAAAAATTTTGAAATATTTCACGATTGCACTTAAGGATTTTTATTTCTCTGTAACTAAATTATCAGTACCTTGAATAATGCATGCATAAGGGTTAATTAAAATAAAATAAAAAATAATGATTCAAATGCGTATTTAAAGAAATATAATTTACTCATAAAAATTAAATTATTATCAACGACAAAATATTCTTATTTTTTAATGTCTTATTTTTAAATTTTATTATAAGCAAGCGCTCGAAAGATTTTAATTGTCATTAAATACTAACATAATCTATCTCCGTATTGTTTACATTAAGATGTTACCTTAGTAACGAAGTCCTTCATAGGTCTAAATTTTATTTAAAATACTTCGAATCGAAATTATTTCCTTTAATAACCTAATTAAAAGAAGGAAGGCAAATTACTTCAGTTTGGAACATATTCGCAGAAATAACAGTTAAGAAATAAATTTTCATCCTGATTCAGCGAATTCCTGCACAAATTCCACTCCATTTTAACTGCAAATGAAAGTTAAAATATTTGCTGAAACAAGAACAAGCAACTCAAAAATCAAGCTAAAAACAAGAGATATTTATAACTTCCGACGTTTTTTTCCTTTTCCTTTCGCCTTACTTTTTGCTTTTACTATTCTGGCATTTTGATTAAATTAAAATATACTATATATAACGTGGATGCACTTTAGACATAAATCTGTAATGTGAAAGAAATTAACATTTTAAATAAACTTGCACTTAAAGCGGGTGTACAGTTAAAAGTTTGTAATATACTTTTTTTACACATCTGTCACATCTATTCATCAAGTCACTTTCTATATTACACTGCGCTGAAAATTTTACGTTTCAGTCAATGTTATTTTTACTGACTGGATAAATTAGCAATTTATCTCAAATAATACGGCAAGAAATAATGTACCTATAAGTCTAAATGAACTGTGCAACTGAGAAATAATTTAGAATTTATGGTATGTATTTTAAATTAAGACTTTTAAGATATATCCTTAAACATATCATTTTAAATTTTTTAGATTAGTTTCTGTATCAAATTTATCTATATAAATTAATTGTGCATTAAAATGAAAAAGCAGGGAAAAAAGACGCGACGAGCTAAAAATAAGAGTTTTATATTAATATAAGTAAATTTTGCGTTGTAAAATAATACGTAAATTGTATTTTCCTCAGCCTTTTCTTCCATAGTTGCAACATCACTTTACAATTTGGAAAGAGGGAAAAGCATGTCATTTAAATACCAAATATTTTCTTAATTTTCGATTGAAGTTTATTTTACTTCTCTTTTAATATTTCGGAAATATATTTTTGCTTCATGTCATGAAATACATTTTCATGACACTTTTAGAACTCTCTTCTACTTTGAACTTTTGAATTTTAGAATTTCAGTCCTTACTGAAAGTATTTACATGTCACCTAAGTTAACCTTTACTCATTTTTAAGAGTTGACTATTTAGGACTGAAAGTGACATGCATCTCAAACTGCGTCCTTGCATTTCGTAGCTGTAAGTATGTAAGCACAGGGCACAATTTACTTTAGCAAAGCATCTTAAAATAGAGCAAATAAGGCATTCGAATTTTGTTAAGAGGAGAAATTAAGAAGACTTCGTGTTTTAGGACGATACGCATTGTTTAGATCCACATTATCTTATCCTAAGATAAATGCTGATCCGACACGAGTGCTACAGGAAAGTGAACTTGGAATATATGGGAGCGGAACTTGAACCCTGGTACCCGACTTCAGGGTCTCAAGTTCTAAAACCTTATGGGAAAACGCTGGTTACTCATTTTTACAAAAATACTTCAAGAAATAAGTTACATTTACTAACATCAAATCTAATATATGGTACAATATCATACAGATTTCAAACATACATTCGAATTATCAAGTGTATGTAAAGAATTTTAGCTTCTTTCTGTTAAGACTTTATACTGCTGTAAATTTTTTCGCGAGTGACACGTTGTGTCACCAATAACATAGACAGATAACCAGTATTATCAAGAGTAAAAATTCTGTTAACAAATAGGCCTCTTTTTTATGGGATTAATAGAAATCTATGATTAGCTTTAGTGACAAATTTCTATTGCTTCAGCATAATGTATTGTCAACCGTGATCACTTGGAAAGTTTTAATTATTTCGTTATGATTTCTGAAAATCTATGTTATTTAGTATCCATACCTTAATGTATTTTCAGGTTTAATTTATGACAGAAATAAAATTTCCAAGATGAATAGATTTAAAAGAATTAACAATGTAATAGGAGGGAAAAATATTTTCATATGTTCAAGGGTGTAATTATTTATAACACAGGGCAAGAGAAATTATTTTCTATTTGCCCATTACTAATTAGGATGAAACTGTACATATTATTCATCTAAAAAATGAAGATTCAATATTACTTCATTCTTAGTGATAATCTGAGCTATAATATTAGCACTTACAATACTAATCCAGATATTAAAAATTATAAAACAAAATGGGAAAGACATGAAACATCATTTATTTTAATGCATTCCAAAAGCATATTATATGATATGAAATGAAATATTTATTGCCAAGAGGAAAAAGTGCAGTTTAACGGAAAAATGGTATGATTAAAATTTGCAGATATTTGCAGTTCAACCAATATGTATATATATATGTTCTTAAAGTTTCTTAAGGACTCTTAAACGCAAAAAAATCAGTCCAGGTTAAGAAAAATTGATTTTTCATGTGCAGAAACAGATACATATATTAAAATGCTTAAATGTAATATCTCCTTTGAATATAGATAATGGTGCACTAAATTAATTTCCGCCTTAAGCTATTATCGACCTTCTTTACATATAAATGAATCTCAGTCATAAATTTTCTAAATCATGAATGGCAACGCTACTCAAAACAGAAAGCAGTTTCTAATGAGAATTTAATTTAGTTCCGAAACTCCATTACTAATATAGTGAAGATTAAGGAAAATCACACGTTTATAAATCGAACAAAATAACCAGTATGACGTCTTATTTTATGTGCTTTACTTACAATAAATATTTGATAATGTTTGCATATTGTTTAATTGAAAATATACTTATTAATCTTTTTCTTTCAGATGCATTTTCTCTGAGAATCAAAATTAAATTTTTATTTTAAACCTAAAATATTTCAGACACAGCTCTTAATTTTAGCAAACTAATTTTCTTCTGCAAAATTGAAATAACATCAAAAAAAATAAAAGTAGCATAAATATTTGATTGGCTTAATTAATTAAGATTTGAAAAAGAACAGGGAGATAAGCTTTCGTACTTTTGAACCTATTTATTTCCTTCCGAAACTTCTAACTCATCTTAGATGCATATACTTTCTCTTCAATCAGTTGGCACATATTCACTTTGAGATTTATATATATTTCTTCTCTAGTTATAGAAATGAAATATTTTTCAGGCGTGGTGAGTGATAGCCATCACTACGAAATGCATTTCATCTTTAAACCAAACACCTGAGCAGTAGATAGTTTATCTTGTAATCCGGTTATTTAGAATCAGAAGTCTTTATTAAAGTGGCATATTCTCCGTTTTCTATCGTAGCAAAGGTTTCTAAAAACCAGTTATAGAGAATATAAAGCGAGATTTGTACATAAAATCTTCAAACTTTCAGGTGTAACAATTAAGATCCTATGCCAGCTCTAACAAACCTAGAGCTATGGCATTAAAATCAGAAACAAAAAAAAAATTCAAACAAAGTTAAAAGTTTTTTTTCTATTAAATAATACATTGAAACATGAATATAGTGCTCTCCTATAAACTATGCATCATTTAATTTGTTCGAAAATGATTTTATTACAGTAAAAGACTTGTGCTTGCGTTAGTATGACTTTGACATTCATGTACTTTGCAGGTGATAGCTCTCAAACTACTTCTTCTGCTCACATCCGATATAAAACATGATACAGAATACATAATGAAGCTAATAATCGCAAAATGGTTTTTGTTCACAAAATCCACAATATACAGAAGCACGTGGAGTTTCTTTGTAACATTTTTTGAGTCAACAAGGGGGTTATTCTTATAAATCGCAGCACAATACGACAATTTGATATACTCTATATTGCACATATCGATTATATGCCTAGTAAACAAAGCAGGATCCCAGAATTTCACTGCAACGTTTCATTAATTAATATTTAAATACAACGCAATAATTTATTCATCTTATGTTTATTTCTATAAATCCATATACTTGTTATAATATGTATATTTAGCAAGGTAACTATTAGAATACATCTTAGCTGTAAAAGTTTTCCTAACATGATCTTAACGTTGCGAGACTTCAAGATCCAGCCTTGTTAATAAAGGACGAGAGGGGATAGGATTGATTATGAAAACAGATCATTTTCTATTGAAATCTGCATAAATTGCATCTACTAGCTAAAGACCGCGCACAAGAGCCCTGGAACCGAATTCTGTACCACTCCGATACCGGACTGATGTTTTACCAACCATGAAACAGAATTCGGTTCCTTTAACACAATACATAAATCTACAAGTACAGTATCAGCATAAACGGAGATTTACAAGGTTGTACAAAATATATTCATTGCATAACATCAGTTGAAAACAGCATTAAGGATTTACATCGGTCTTCACCAAATATATATATATATGGAAATAAACTCTACACAACAAATTCAATACAGATGAGCATACTGTCTTTCTTTCAATATCAAGAAAAGAGATCATTTACGAGGTCCACGCCAAGCACATTTTATCTTGATTCATCACATTCAGACTAGCTACTCTTCGTACCAACAATTTTCCTTCATTCCCAAACTCTATTTCTTCTAATATAAATACATCTTTATTTCGCAAATAATACCAAAGCAAAGATTTGCAACCAGTATGATCTCTACCTTAACATTTCGGCTGGCAAAATCCCTAATCCGATATCGGAGTGGTAGAAGGTAGGATCAATGTAGCTGCAAAGCTTTGCTCAACATGCACCATACGTAACGTCAGTGAAGGCTATTCATGCAACTGCAAGTCACAGTCACCAAAGCCAAAAGTTACTTTTGGAATAACTATGTGCAAAGTACCGGGCTCTGATAGAGCTCCTTGACACAGAAAATGAAATTAAGAGAGAAACATTTTAAGAAAACTGTGCACAAAAATACGTATATTTTACATAAAACAAATATAAAGTCACATACTCACAAAAAGTAAAGCATTTTTAACATGCCATTTACTGAGACGATACGTTATTTAAATGATAAAATGTAGAAGAATTCATAAGAATTATGAATAAATGTTAAGTGCCTGAAGTTAAGTGCCATTTACTTACTTTACACTTCAGAAATAAGCATGCACCGAAAATATACTTTTATTTCTTTATAATATTTTAGAGAACGCTGTAGAAAAACGATTAAAGAGTGCCGTTTTAATACAATCGTAAGACTACTGGAGAAAATAAAGTTAGTTCAAATATTTTAATAAACTATGTTGTCAATTTTAAAAGTTCAAATGCTAACATGAAAATTATCATATCGATAAATAACATTGTAACGTATAGCATTTAATTTAATTTTGCAGACAGTAGTAAATAAATTGTGTTTTGAAAATGCTTTGATATATGCACTGTTTTTTTGCAAATTCGATAGTTTTATCAGGTTTCAAACACCTTTAAAGTGTTATTTTGTAAAGCTTATTTTTAATAAGCTCATCATACATTTGTATGAAATAAGTTTTAATGATAATTCAAATGCATATATAGGATGTGCATATTACGACGCAATTATTAAGAACTAAATGTCAAAATCTGCCAGCTTTATTAAACAACGGAAATAGAGATATTAAAAAATAAAAAGGAATCCTTGGTAATTGGAATCATAAGCAGTTGCAAACTACATAATTTTGCATGATTAAACATTCCATTCTAAATAACAGCCACTCTTTAAAATGTCACAAGGGATAAAAGGTAAAATATAAAAATATCATTTAATAACCTGTCTCATAATCCTTCTCATCAATTAAAAAAGTATTCCAAATGATTGTCATTCAGGTGAGCATTTTAAATTTATTTCTTTGATTAATCTTTTTATAACAATCTGCTTTTAAAATTTAGAGCGTATCTCCCTATTTTTCAATCCGTACGGGAATGTGTAAGTAATTAAAAAAAATCATACAGTCTTTTGAAATATTCTACTTTCAAATAAGTTAGGTAAAGGAAATTTAAAGCTATGGAAGTTTGGACATTTTTATGACAATGTGGTTTTCTGGAATATTTAACAAAATCACTTATTTCCATCGATATGTTTTCTTTACCAAATTTTGGCAAGAGTTTTTGTCACTGATGTTAATCACTTGCTGTACTCATGTCTATGAGCTTTAAATAGTTATTTTACTTGACTTAACGTGAACCAAATACAGTTTGCCTTCACGTTTACGATGATTTGGAATCTTCTGTGTCAAGGTCTCACATTAAAAATAATATTGACATATCATGGTAATATAAGAAGCACGGCAGTATTTTTAATGCTACGAATCTCATTATTGCAATTAAAACTTTGTACTGTGTATCATCGAAATGCTAGTACTATTATTGTTTAAGTATTATACAGTTTGATACAATATTTAGATACAGAGGAAACGGATTTAACTCAGCTGCGCTCTTTGAAGAAATGAAAATGAAAGATCATTATTTGGAAAACTTTAATTGAGATGAATAAAGATGCATTTTCTCTGCCTCTCTCTCAAAAAAAGTAAAGGGCGGAAGAATGAAGACCACTGAAAAGGAATGATTTCTTTCGTTTTTTTCCTGGATAAATTTTGATGCATTCTTTGGCTGATAATCCGAGCAAGAATGTAATATCTAGCTTTAGACATGTACATAATAAAGGAATTATGCGGGGTGATGCATAAAGAAAGTGTATTTGCCACTATATATTTATGTGAACAAGAATAAAGTTAGCAACGATTTGTTATACCACAAAATTAGAGAACGTCTGACAGTTTGCAAAATCTTCCAATAAACAGTGAAAATATCCATCTTTTTTTTTTTCTGAAGGCACAGCTGAACAAACCGTTTATTTTCCACGCCACTTGTTGAAGCACATTCCTAAAAGTACCGTTAAATTCGTTGGTTACGTTCCGATTCAAATCATAGGCTTTGCGCCCTAGGACATATGAGTTCTAGTACACTAGATAATTAGAAGCAGACATTGTCATCGAAATCAATGGTATTGATGAAACAGTGTTCCAACAAACGCTCAAGGACTTGCAACGACACGCGTAGCTATGTTCGTTTTTTGGGAGGGGGATTTATCGTTCAAGTATTTAACCGGAAATGAAAGTAACTCCTCTCTTATAGAATTTACATTTGAGACTTAATTAATTGTTGCTAGCTTTATTCTTGTTCAAATACATGACAAAAAACCATGAGTTTTATATGAATCACCCTTTTAGGAGATACATATTGGACGCTAGATCAAATGCGTACAAATGAGACAGAAAATAAAATAAGCTCATTTCTGTTTAGCTGTTCTAATTCATTATTTCAAATACGATTATGGCACTTTAAACGGCAACTTTCTTTTCACAAGTCATTCTTTGCCAGTGGCCAACAGTACCGAATAAACAACTATAAATCTCGATTACATACGTAGTCAATTCATTAAATACATTTTAGTATTAAAGGCACAGCACTGCAGGCCTTGCGGAATCAACACTGCTTATACTTCTAAGAGCAGCCTTACTATTCACCATGACATAGCAACGTTGATTTCAACAAATAATTAAAACATTTTAAAGTAGAATTTGTGTAATAATTATTACGTAATTTATGTTCAACAGAAGTGTTAAAATCTTTAGTTTGAACAGGTAGAATAATTATTCAAAAACTTTAGTTATTCAGAAACTATCTAACGTTCGAAGAAACGGGTTAAGATATGTTGATCTTGTAACCGAGATTTCATTGTGCATGAAAACAAAGTACATAGTTGAAAAAAAAGTGTTGGCGCATTGGTAGTGATGAGAATTACCTTTCTAAAATATTTCGATAAAATGATTCGTATGAACCTGGTAGGTAAATTACGTTGACATTACAACTTGGATTTGATTAATGTTGCCGACATGCTTCTAACGCAGGACTAACAACGTTAGATATATAGGAGGATTTCTAACCCTAGTAACTGTATACGAGAAAAATTCTACAGCTGGGTTATTTTCATCATTTGCACATTATAAATGTGCAATATCAAAGCGCTTGCACAGAACGCCGAGCGCTAAAATTATGATAGGATCAGATTCATGACAGGAGACGTAACTGAACAAAAGTCTTTGAAGAAGCAAGGACCTTACCTTTCACCGGGGTATAATACGGAACATCATTTTTTCACTTCAAATTGAATTAAGCTCTTAATGAAATGAAACAGTATGACGCTTTAATATGGAAATGCACAAAATCATAACTTGTGTTCGGTCAAGGACTTTGATGATATTCTCTGGTCGACTTATTATGCAACTTATAGCCAGAGTAATAACTACCTTGTCGGACATCTAACGAGTTGTGAAATATTTTTAGACCCTGATATAACAAAAGCTTTCGATATCAGTTACAAGAAAAGCATAAAGTGGGATAATAGTTGAAGATCTGACTGACATTTGGACTATGAAAAGGTCTCCAGTCATTAGATTTCCTTATCAGAAACTTGAATGAATAGTTCTTAGTGTGAAATTTTTGCGTTTCTATACGAAGGAACATTAGGGAATTTCAGATGAACGATTTGACAGATATACAAAAACCACTCAGTCGTTCTACTGTTTCCTAAAATTCTCAAATCTACGCGTTAGTCCAGCATAGACGAAACTCACTACTGAAAACAGAGACTATACACATTAAGATAGGGAGCGCGGCGCGACAATGACAAAATTGGCACTCAGTTTGATATTTCATCAGTAATCATGACCTCCGTGATCTTGAATTTTCTGTAATGAAAGCTTGCAATTTTCTATACCTTGATCTGAAAACTCTAGAATGGATACTGATGAAAGCGGCTAGATTTTTTTTATTCGATAACTCATGACAAAGCTTACAATCAAAATATTACTTATGAAATATGTTTTGTAAGTAATCAATAATTTGGCTTATTTTGAGAACTTCAAACCAAAACATTAAATTTTGTTGCTACAAAACAGTGTTTTTGCTGTAGTAGTTGAGAAATTATGTAAACGTGGTGTGATACATAACTACTTCTTCAATACCTTTCATATTCGTTTCAGTTTCTCAACTATTCATATACGTAGCATATACTTAAATACAAAAATTACTACTTCTGTCGTACTTTGTTTAGTCCAGCCACATGCATCCGTGTCCGTTCTTTGCAGTAGTTTTCTTAAATGATTATCTTCTGCCTGATGAGATTCCATCACCAGGCCAGTTGATAAAGCTTACTTTTGAATTTGTTCCTCAATTCTGAGCAATACTGAGATGTGTCATTCTAGTCATCAATGTAGATGCATCTGTAAATTTTTCGTCTTCGATATTAAACAGTTTCGGTACATCCATGCCACTCTCCCTATGGGAGATAACCTCACTTGATACTTCATATGAAAAACCCATATACATCTTAAAGAACAGTACGGCGAGAATCTCAGATAGATGCCTCTAAATGCTGGCGACTCAATTATTCTTATGATTAGTACGAATTCGGGAGTCATGTGCTTAAAAATTAAAATTCGGTTACGAAATTATACGAATAATGATTGAAATGAGAAGGAAATATTCTAGCCTTGAAAATTTATTTATAAGGCTCAGAAATTCTCTTATATATCTTCACATTTAAAATCCCACCACACTATATTTTTCTCACACATCATTAAATCTTTATATATATATATATGTGTGTGTGTGTATATAGGTATGCATAGGTGTATACATATACATATACATATACATATACATATAAACCTTTGCACGTATGCATGTGCATATATATACATAGATATATATATTTATAGCTTAAACATTTTAATTACAGATACAGAGATGGCAGGGGCTTCAACTGGGACAAACGGTTTGGGTTTTTCACATGAATTCAAGATTTAAACCATTGATTACACTTTACTATGATCTTGATTTCGGTTCCGTAGCTTTGAGAGATCTACAGAGGTTCTAAACTTCTTTTCACGTCTGGATGATCTGTATCTTGTCGTAGACTACTCCTCTCTGTCCTCCCTGAAGAGGTAGGTGGTCCAGTAGACCAGGTTGAAGAGTGCGAACATGAGGGGGAAGAAAATACGCGAAATGACATCGATGCGCTTGGAGCGGGAAGGGAACCTGTTCATCCATCTTCTGCACAGATTCACCTTCGGGCTCTTCATGTGCACCTCGCACTGGCGCATCTTCTCGGCGTGCAGGTCACCGTGATGGTGCACCAAGGGCTTCTGGAAAAAAGAACACTTTAGCCAATTGAGACATAAATGCATGCACATCTCTAGACCAGGAGTCGACAATGATATGTAATGAACCTGATAAACAAGTAATTTTATTAGTTCATGTTTATGTCAGTGCAACTAACTACCTCCCTTAAAATACCAGGAACATTTTCTGGCCTCGACAAATTTTAAATTAATGCATTCTTTAAAATATATTAAAATGTGAAGATCTGCATTAGTAAAATCTTCATTAACTTGAAACTAGGGGTGTTTAAAAGAAAGAGAGACAAATAGCTTGAAGCAGAGCTATTTTCATAGGTATTCAAAGAAATGCTTAGATAAGTATTTAAAACATATTAATTTAAAAGAAAATATTTTATTCAGATATTGGCATATACCAACATTTTCTATACTTTTTTTTGTTTAATTTACGAGCATGTTAGAAATAATCTAACTAAAGGTTGTAAGATAAGAAATCAAATATGTAAGATATGTAACATAACATCATAAGATCACATATATGTAGACATAAGATCTTATATGTAAGATAAGAACAAATCAAAATTATAACTTAAATTATCAATAGATCCCTAATTCTTCATTACATAGCGATGATGACGTAGCGAATTCGGAACATAAACTGAATCATTTCTCCTAATAAGCCTCTACACTGGATAACTATGCACTTGCTTTCTGCACCTCAGTCTAGCCAGACCGCTGCTTGCTGTATCTATTCTCACCGCAAAGCTATAAAAATGTACGATGTTTGAAATAGGAATGATTAAAGTGCCAAGTGAATTGTGACTGCAAATGTCAATTGAAATAAATGCCAAGTGAATTGTGGCCGAAAATGTCAAAGGAATATTTAATCTGTCTCGGTTGCCCTGTTTGCTCTTCATTATGGATCAATATCTGTACAGCTACACAATCAACATTCTTACATTATTACATCTTAAGTCTGCTTCATTATATATATATATATATATATATATATATATATATATACTTGGAATGACGAAAGGCATGATGCAAAAGAAATTGAGAACCACTGAATTAGACGTTAATTCAGTAGTTTTGTCTATTTCAAATACACTGGTCTTATTAAAACACATGAAAGGAAACCAATCATTAGATTGAAAAGTGGATCTGCATTCGAGCATGGCAATCCACTCACAACAAGTACACATTTATTCACTTGTGATGATTTAGAGAATGCAGCAGAGGGCATGTTTTAGCATTAATGCATTTTGTTTACTTACCAATGTTTTCATTTGTAAGGTTTATACGTTTTTCAGCTGAGTTTCTCAAGCTAAAGAATAAATATGAACAAAGCGTTAATAATAACTACTTAAATTAATTGTTCTAAAGAATGGTTACCATAGCAAAAGTCGTCGCTCCATCTTCTAGATGGTCAGCTTCCAGAGCTGCATGTTCCAGCTCCCACTGCTTCTTCTGTTGTTCTTTGGCACTCTTTTTGTGCGCGTCGCTTCGAGAAGCATAATTGACGAGCGCAAATTCAAGCAGAGCGCCGAACACGAAGGTCAGGCAGACTCCTGTCCACACGTCAATGGCTTTGGTATAAGAGACGGGTGGCAGGGATGCATTGATACCAGACGTTTGAGTCGCCATGGTCAGCAGTGTGGTCACTCCAAGAGAGACACGTGCGGGAATAGCATTCTGGTCCAGCCAGAACGACACCCAGGATACGATGACCAACATACAGCAAGGTATGTAGATTTGAATAAGGTAGTAACTGAATTCCCGTTTGAAAAGGAGATCCACTTTCAAGCAACTGTATTCTCCTGCGGAAGACAAACTTACGTTTGTTAGAACACCTCATTGAAATAATGTAGCGTAGATCTGTTGAAATTGTACTTACAATGATATAAACTAGCATTAAAAAATTCGAGTTTCTCCTTTAAACATATCAGTCGTAAAGCAATACTCAGGTTAGAGCTATTTAAATATCCGGCTAACATTTTAAATCTTCTAATACGCTTCATTTACGTACATTTCACACATGGAATTTTAAGATCAGGAATAATAAAAATAATCTATTTACCTAATTCGCAAAGGATGCGAGTTTTTTTAAAGTTTCTTGAAATGCAGTTAAAGACAAACATGATGAATCAAAAGACTTTCTGAGCAGTTACTTTGAATTCTATATTTAATTATATTTAAAAACCGTAAAGTTTATGCTCAATGCTTTCAAATGAGCTTTCAGAAAGTTTGCAGTTTCTGGAAATGCATTAATTTTTTTTTAACATTGAATGGTTTAATTAAACAGTTTTAGCTTAACTAATTTCTTATACTAAAACGCACTTTTGTAAGGAAATTATTGTTTTTACAATATAATGGAGACCGTTTAAAGAAACGTTAAAATAGGGCAGGAAATACTTTATAAAAGCATTTAATAATTTCTATTTGATTATTGTTACTGCATGTCTTTATTATTATTTTTACATTTCCTTTGTTTATGTAACTTTTATTGCTGATATAGCTCTTATGTTGTTAGTGTTGACTTAACTCTTATGCTATTGTCGCTGATGTAGATCTTGTTGTGAATGTAGCTTTTACGTTATTATTGCTGACGTAGCTCTTATGCTGGTATACCTGATGCAGCTCTTATTATTTTTACATGTCCCTTCATTTGCGGATGAAATATTTCAAGGGATTATCAAAGATAAGAAATCTGAAATGTATTCAGTTTTATAGTAGTTAAAAACTTTCGGTATTAAGGATGTTTAAACATCAAATAAATCTTAAGTAACTAAATTTATCATATAAATGTCATTTTTATGTCAACAAATGAAAAATACCACATTAGGCAGAAATGAAAGATAATAGAAAACCTCATTGTTAAATTCTAAACTGTATTTATTTATATAAGTAATAGCCATAAATTTTCAAAACTAAAATTACAAAAAATATTTGAGAACGATAACATTGAAAATACACTTACTGTTTACGTAAAACACAAAAATGTACTTCAATGTACATAATATAAACCTCCGTACAGCTGAAAATAGATTCTAAATAGTTGAAAAACGATTTAAATACCTCCAGATATTGAATACTTACCTCCTTGTTTCCAACCCCAAGCATTTAAATCTTTAACTATCTAAAAGACTTACTTACTAGTGATTCAATCAAACTTCATTTCCTGTACATTTCTCAAAGAATTAAGAAAAAATAGTGATTTTGCTTCAAACTCACCTGTATTTGTCCGACTAGTACAATAGTCTGTGTAGAACCTTTCCAGAGTAAAGCGAGGAAGGTGAAGATTCTTTGTCACTTGTACTGGATCACCTTCTTTCCAAAGAAAAACTAAATCTTCGGTAGTATAACCGTCTAGAATAAGAAACAGATACAGTAAAACTTTGTTAAGTCGAATTGAAGTGAAATTTTGTTCTATATAGACAAGGATTAAATATTTCAGTCGAACTCTGATAACTCGTTACCTGTCAATTAAACACTTTTTAAATTTATTAATTGCCAAATATCTTAATTTATGTATAAATATATACATATACTTTCAGTTTTCGTAGCAAATTTGAGTAACTAATTCATATTCTTTAACACAAATCCGACTTGGTTCATTCGACTTATCAGAGTTTTACTGTACTTGCGAAGAAACAAAAATATTTTGCTCTCAGGATAAGGAATATCATGCAAAGATACTTACCTGATTCTCCACAGCCTTAACATTACAGTATACAGAGGAGTATTTTGTATTAAGTTTTAATAATGTGATACTATGTGATTTGTATAATTATACGAAATGCTTTTTGTCATTTGTAATTTTGATGTATACTATACGTATTGCCTTAAGGCAATACCTTTCCTATTCGTAACACAGCTCTTAATACTCGGCAAGTATGAGGAAAGGAAAACAAAAATACACTTACCATTCATTAATTACAACCGATAAACGTTTTAATGTTACCAAATTTCGCTTATATATGTTCTCTTATACATGCAAGTCTGATTTAAAGGGTCAGTGCTAAGAAGCCGTTTGAAATATATTCTTAATATTTTATCTTAAACAGAAGGGCTAGGTTCGAGTTTTAGGAATACTGAACCCAAAGTTAAATTGTGCGTGGAATAAACGAAATATCATTTCACAGCTTGGTATTCCTAACGTATGCCAATTTGTATATTTCTAAAATCTGTATAGCTTTACGTTTCTTCAATAAATTTTGCACTAAAATTTCAAGTAACGAAAAAGTTCTTGTAAGTTTAAGACCTTGTAAAGATTTGTAGGGCATTGATAGACTTTAAGGAACAGAAAACATGAAAAAATTATCAGCGTATGTATGAGGATTGAACCCCAAATTCTACCAGCCATTTTCTCTTAGAAAGGCCTCCACAAATGCATCCCTCCACTTAGCAGATAATCCTAGTGTGCTTTGCCATAATCAACTGAATCAAACCAAACCACAAATTTGCCTGTCATCTAAGCGCTTGTATCACCCGGGAATGCTATAAACGATTAATTTTACCCCACTTAAAGGGTTGTGGGGTTCCACCCTTTTATCTAACAGTTAAATATGTAGGAATCTCGTGAACAGATAAGCGAAGAATCGCTTGATTTCGGGAACATAGACGTAAGCTCAAGAAGGGTTAATTACGCTTTATTATTCAAAATCAGAAGGTGCAGTCGGCTCCTTTCTCAGAGCGTACAGCAAAGCCTCCACTTGGGCTTGAACTCAAAGTAATAAGAAATAAAACTTAACTAATGTTTAACTAAAATATATAGCCGACGGTATCAAAATTCCAAGTAGTTGGCCCCTAAATATCAAATAAGCTGGCGAAGCTATCAAGGGCCTGAAATACGGCCGAGCGTAGTAACAGCTTAGGTAGAGAGAGACGTAGCTAAAAAGCAAATGCGCGCTAGTCAGAAACTCTGAGGCTCTCTAACAAAGTCAGTGGAACTTCGACTTAAATACCACTTTTACTCATTTTCATCAAGTGCGTTTCTAAAAACGCATTCCAGTAGGAAATTGTAAACTGAAATTAAGAAGGACAGGAAAGTAGCTTTAACTTAAAATAACTGTTAAACAAACTTGGATAAACCTTACAGGGTGACTGGGGAGAGGTACGAGATTAAGATAAAAAACGAAAACTTATTGTTCGCCACATTATAGTTCAAACACCATCGTAGGAAATATTACATTTCGAAGCTGGGAAGCTTGGGAAACCACCCCATTACCGGAAATAGAATTACAGATATTCCAAAGTTAGCTGAATATATTAACCTCTTACATCGAAAGGGCACGCATTAGAAAATGAAATAATTCCCTTACTTTTGAAAGAAAGTTGCTTATTCAAAGGACAATTAAAACTTGAATAGTATGAGTACCTAAAGACTCGTATATATTGCTTTGCGCATTTGATTTTTGACTTCGTTACGCCTGAAATGTTTTATCTATAACTTATTCCAATGTTTTTCCTTGAGAAAAATAATTTGGAATAGTAAAGGACATAAAATATGAAATAAGAATTAATGATTCTTTGTATGTAGTCTTCTAGTCGAATAAGATACTAAGTTTCAATATTTGTCTAAAATTTAGAAACCTTTTGTGACATGTAATCTGTAATCACTTTTATCTACGATAAAAATTATCTCTATCATTGTATTTGCCTTAAAAATATATTAAATAAATAGAGTATTGTGGAGTCTTACGTGTTAAGAGCTCAAAAACTGAAAATTATATGAAAACTAAAGAAATTAAATCATCATTTTTGGAGTAACTGAGTGAATACAGGCCAGTTTCCCCCAGAAAACCCTCCACGAAGCTTTCCCTTGTATTAAGCAGATAGCGATCGTAGCTTTGCCTTATTTAAATAACCTAACCCACAATAATTGATTTCAAGTTTTTCTTTTGTTGCTATAATTATGCCGTTGAACGTTAAAACTGATTAGACTGATTTTTAAATCTTTAACGATAGGATCACTTATCAGGATTTTGAGTATTACGTTAAGGAATAACTGTAATTATTCAGATGTGATTAGAAGAAAGAACAACAAAGCATGAATATCAAATCTATTACCCTTTAAATTTTACAATCACTTATCTCATCATTTAGTTTAACTACACATATTTTAGTTAAATAATGCAACGATTAAGTTTTAAATGTTTAAATGGCTATTAGCCATAAATATAGAACTGAGAACCAAAACCCTCTTTTATTTTCTGTCATTCTTTCTGTCTCTTCATATTTCTGTCATTCTTTTAGAGATAAGCAATGCATGCTTGTTTAGAAAAAGAAATAAACATTCATGATGTCAGCCTATTCAAAATGTCAGCCTAGGAAACGCAAAAGGTGATGAAAATAAAATTTTAAGAAGAGATAAAATAATAATACTAGGAGGTAATAATTTCTGTGTCTATCAGACTGGATTAATAGACTACCTTGAGACGTTCTGTAATGGCATTGATTCTGAGAACTATCAAATTTGAATAATAGAAAGCTATTAGTGTCCTTGCGAAATGTTTTCCATTAACAAACTTTCTGAGAATTATAAAGTGAGTGGAATGTCATATTTATTCGATGTTGTGAAATCAATAGCGAAAGGCAGACAAGCAGCTTTTCAAACTAATGAAGGTTATGCCATTAAAATAAGTACTAGAAAACTGCGTATATATAATAATAAAATGGCTTAGCAGAATAATATTATAATGAGGGAAATTCTACACTGGAATATACTAAAAATTTCCAAATTGTCTTAAATATTAATTATCTCAAGCCGGAAAGCTTCAGAGGGATTGAATTAAAGGAATTTGTAACAAAAATGAAAAAGGATTTAGGAATATTTTTCCCAAATATTAGAAGTCGAAAGAAAAATAGAGAAGGAAAAAAGTTCTCCCTTAAATATATGTATATATATGTTACCGTGAAAGATTGAAACCTGAAAAAAGTCGGCATTCTCCGGAGAATGTCGACATTCACATAATCGTCCAAAATGTTTGCAAAATGTCTTTTTTCTCACTTACAACAGCAAATATTGACATTCATCATGCACTGACGGTAAATGCTAAATATAAAAGTAACATATTATGATATATATTAAAATAAGAGAAAGCTGAAGTAACAGCAGACAAACTGTTGAACTCAAAACGAAAGGTAAATTCTAAATGCTAAAAGGAAAATAACATCAATAATAAACTTATTTGATTATATGATAGACTTTATGCAATCTTATTTATTGCAAAAACTGTTATGACACTTTGAAATGCGTAACAGTCCCTTCTTTTACCAACTGCATTTAGTCGTGGAACACATCTTTCTTCTCGCCTTCTCGTTTCGACCTCCACCACAGCATATCTGTGCTTGTCGATATATAACGGTGATGATCCGAATGTATAAGAATATAACCGAATATATTCGGTCTTTCATGGACGTATTTAATATGTGTTGACATTCATCGGGGAATATCGACATTCTCCAACTTCGGCCTTTCACGATAGCATATATATATATATATATATATATAATATTTCAACATTTATTAGAAAAATATTAATTTAAAACTTGCTCTTTGTTTTTATGATTTCTAATTTCAAAGATTCTAATTTTATACTGTTTAAATTTTGCACAGGATTAAATAAAATTAGACAAAGCAAAACATTGTATTTGGCATAGATTTTAGTCAAGACTCTATCGATTTCTAGTGCAAGCACGTACAAGTCCCACTTTTTCAGTAGCAAAGAAATCTGTAACGGGGGAGCTTTGCACAGTATTATATGCTTAAGGTAACTTCGAAGCAGATTATATCTTGATGAATGATTAAAGAAAAATTAAAACAAAAAATTGATTTTTAATAGCATTCTTTTTAATATAAAAAATCAAAATAAAAAAAATTAATGGCTTTGCATTTCTATTTTATATTCCTTTAAATTTTCTTTTTATTTACACATTATTTTGAATTATTTTTGAATTTGTTTTTACAATCATCCATATATATATGTCTCAGAAACGTGACTCTGTTAAAAATGTTTCGGCTGCTCCTTGAAAAAGATCAAAGAATTTTCAACTATTTGTTATTATATTATTATATTTTTATGTTATTGTTTTCGAGATGTTTCGTTTCTGTAAAGGTTTACATTTATATTCTTCCTGTTAGCTAGTTAGTCAAGTCAGCCACCACTTTTGTTTGATTTAATTACTATCTCTTGATATATGCCATGCAACTGCTTGATCGCTCTTATCCGGTCATGAGATTTTCTGTCATACTGCATAACTTGTTATTTTGATATTTAAAATACTTTACTACCTTATGTTTTTGAATAATCTGAATATCAGCGTAACGAAGAAAAGTTATGCAAATAAAGAATAAAATGAATAAT